TTAAACCAAAAAAAAAAAAAAATTGTTCCTCAGACATAACTGAAAATATGTTTGATTTTCTCATCTCTATGCATATAATTGAATAATTAATAAAAAAAAAAAAAACAGAAAAACCTTTACTAAATTTGTATTATCTGTTCAAAAATCAATATCAGATTCAAGAGCTACAGTATAAAGTACTAATTGTTTCTATTATTTATTACCAATTTATTTTAAGTCAAACAATTGTTTATGAATGATGTATTGAATTAAATGTTTAATTTTAATTTATTATAATTAGGAATCTAATCTAATACATCCTTATGATTATTAATATTTATAAACATTTAAATAAACAATATCATATTTAGATATTCTTCCCAAAGTTTTATTAGAAAAGTCTGATAGTTGAAGTAAATAAAAAGATCAAATGATCATTAATCAATTAACTTCCCAATTATTATATTTATTCTGAGGAAAAAAAATTCTAAAAGATTAGTTTCTATTTAAACACTTACAATCTAATAGATTGTGTCAGTTATTTAAACTACACTATAAATTAAAATTTACAATATATACTTACTGTTTTGTAGATTCATTATCTGATTCTGTTCTAATAGAATTTATTAGATAATTTTCAATAAAATCAACTGTAGACTTCACAGTCACCTTAAAGACACATGTTAAAATCATATTAAACAAACATAAATAACTTCAAATTTAATGTCACAAATATATTCTAATTACATAACAACAATGACAGTTTTGCAATCTGACATTTCTAATAAGGTAAACAAATATGACTAATGATTATAAAAAAAAAATTAACCTTTGTCTTAGTTATATTTTCCAACTTGTGTTCACACTGACAACAAATTAGTGGTTTTTTTTGTGCATTGCTATCTTTTATTCACCATACAAAATATAATTATGATATGAAATGTTTTATGTTATATAATTTCTTTGGCAACAATATTTATAACAAATTATATTTAATGTAAAAAAAAGCTATGCAATAACTACTATAAAACAATTTAAAATAATAAATTTATCAAATTATTTGAAACACCTACAACATTTTGTTTTGTTATTTTACTATCTGTTTACAAGATTGAGTTAATCTGAGTTACAAAATTTTTGTGAAATGTAATAAATAATTAAATTATCACTGTATAAAGATTTTAATGCAATATATATAATTTACATATACGTGTCAAAACTTATGAACAGTTATCATCAGTTAAAATTTTTCAAAAAGATGATTCTAAGATAAATTTTAAAATATTTGAATTCATAAATTAAAATTTAGTTGTATTAATTTAGTAGTTTAATTTAGTTTCAAATTTCTCAAAAAAATCTCCAAATGCATTTCGCCGTTACAGCCTCATCGGTGGATCATCATCGATGAGGCATGAAATTTGAAAGTAATAAAAGAAATAGAGTTGGATGAAGTAAAGTATCTTTGTTAATTATTTGTCTGCTAATACAAATTACTCGAAATCGGTTTAAGAGAGTTTTTAATTTACTCATTTATCTTATCTAAAGATAATCTTTTATTTTTAGAAATTATATTTTTTAAAATAAGTTGTAACTGATAATGGTTTGAAAGTAAATGAAAATATTTTTCAATGAAGTAAACAGTGTTTGGTTTCCTTAAATAAGTGATTTCAATAGTTAATAAGATATAATTTAAATTGATGTCAATTTCAAGAAATAATCAATAATAATAATCCAATTTTTCATATTAATACAGTAAATATTAAAAATATTGAGATTTTTTCAAAACTATAACATATTTCAAAATAGAAGAAAACTGCCACTTAAAACTGGTTAAATTAGAATTAAAAAACACTAAACCTATAAACCAGCAAATTTTATAAAAAATGCAAACATTTTCACCTATCATCATCAGACAAACTAATCACCAAATTCTGAAACAAATGGGAGATTGCCAAACACATGTACAGAGGAAAGGTGATGTAAGATGAGAGAAATGAGGACAGAGAAGTTAAACACCTGCCTCAAGGAACATCCATCACAAAAAGATTAGTCAACACAGCATTGGCTATCTATGCCTCCAACTGGACATCAATGTGGAATTCCACAAAGTATGTCTCTTAAATAACTCTTCCAGGCAACCCTTTCTAAAACATCTTGAGCAGGTTGAAATATAAAAGACCACCTGCAAAAAAAAAAAAACACTATTAGTTTTAACAATGTTGACTCCTTCCCCATAGCATGGAAGTCATTCTTCAAACTATAAATCTTACTATCTTCCACCTCCCCATTTCTCTTGTCTTATGTCATCTCCCCTCTGCACATGTGCTTGGCAATCCTCCCGTTTGTTTCAGCATTTGGTGATTAGTTTGCTTGATGACACCCATTAAACATGGGCAAATACATTTGCATTTGTTATAAAATTTGCTGGTTTATAGGTTTAGTGTTTTTTTTAATATTTCAAAATTATCATCATCTATTTTTTTAAAAATTCGCCTATACATAAATTCTCCATATAAAATTTGAGTGCACATTAAGAAGAAAAGCAATCAAGTTGTCCTTAAGCATTTTTTACATATTTTCTAACTGCAACTTTTAATTTTTCACACATTTGTGTATTCTTCAGTCTCTTAATCAAAGTTTTATTTTATTTTTTTTGTCATTTTCTTCAAATTTTTAGTTATAGGTTATGTAGCATGTTAGTTAACTTCAACTAATTCTCTCTTTTTTGTTTTTGTGAAAAGCAAAACATGAATTAGTTATTTAATGAAAAATTGAGGTTCTAAAAGCTTCTTTCATTTTATAACACTCACCAAATAAACCATTACCAGTTCATAACCAAACAGAAAAATTTTTCTATAAACGTTTTCATCTATATGTAATAGACATCTTCAGGTATTGACAATATCGAACTAACGGCTAGTAGAATAGAATGTTTTTGAAAGTTCTGTTTAACTACGTAATTCGAATACGTTGCGTTAAAATTGAAAATATGTAAAATATTTAAAACATATCCGAATAAATAATTGATTTCACGTAGATCATGATGAAAATATCCTCCATAATTTAAAATATCTTTGATGCGCGTTTCAATCATTGGGATCTAATTCAAATATGGCACGCCATGCTGCAGAAAGCGTATCGGTTTCTTTGAAATTAATACCGACCCCTTTTCTAATTGCCTTATATATCTACAGCAATTCGAGGTACTTGAAACATGCATCAAAGATATTTTAAATTACGGAGGATATTTACGTCATGATCTACGTGAAATCAATTATTTATTCGGATATGTTTTAAATATTTTACATATTTTCAATTTTAACACAACGTATTTGAATTACGTAATTAAACGGAACTTTCAAAAACATTCTATTCTACTAGCTGTTAGTTCAATATCTTCAATACCTGAGGATGTCTATTACATATAGATGAAAACATTCGTAGAAAGAATTTTTCTGTTTGGTTATGAACTGGTAATGGTTTATTTGGTGAGTGTTATATAATTAAGTATCCAGCTTCTTTCATTTTATAAATTCATTTTATTCATTAGTTTATTTTATTTTATTTAAAAATTAAAATATATTTGTCAATTTTAAAAAATTTGAAAATATTTAATGATTTATGGAAAAAACTTATTTTGAAACATTATTTTTGAATGATATCACATTATTCCAAATTTAATTATCTAATTAATTAAATATATTAATTTCATTGTTGCTAGACCACAATAATTAAAATATATTGATCTTTATTACAAAAAAGTCATCTTGTGTAATTCAACTACATATCAGTGAAATATCAAAGTCAAATTTTTATTTTTAAATACTGCACATTTTTTTTTAAGAATAATGTATATTCTTAAAAAAAATGTAGGCATACATCAAGAGAAAACAAAAGACTTCATCAGATTTACACATTATGAAAATAAAAACATTTACCTATATACCAATGAATCAATCTAAAATAATTTTTTCATACTGTGAAATGAGAACCAGAAAATTCTACCTACATTTTCTTTTATTTTAGTCTGTTTGGAAAATCATCTTTCTGTTAACAGAAAATTTTGTCAATTTATTAGTAGAGGAATAGAAGAAAATTTTTGGCATAAAAGTTTGGTTCTAATCTGCAAAAGTTGGCAAAACTTTGAATTATTCTGCTGTAAAATTGTCTTTAAGTCAAATAGCACTCTTTGTTCTCATCTCATATATTAAAGTTCATCTAAAATTTCATATGTTTGTTATTAGAACTCTCATTTTATTCCAGATAAAATTTTCTGTTTCTTGAAGTATACAAAGTCCTATCATTCACCAACATGTTCAAACAGGCACAATATAAAATGAGTAAATGAAAATGAGAATGATGTTTACCATTCTCATTTTCAATGACATTTTGTTTACTCATTCTATTTAACATATAATTCATTTAGGCTTCCTTCTTTATTTTGTCCTAAATTTATTGGTTTGACAATTACAATTTAACATTAATAAATATATACAATAATAAACAAAGCCAAACTTCTAAAGATAAACCAAGATACTTTGATCTAAAGAAAGGAAGATAATTTCTAATTATCTTCCTTTATTAGATTAATTTGGAAGAACTTAATTTTAAATTTAATTAATGCTTAAATATTAGAAAATAATTAAATTCTAATTATTAATATTTAAACATAGGTGACAGCATCTATCTATCTTTAGACTAATTTAATTTAAAAATTTAATAAAAATAAATCAGATATAACTTGACTAATTAACATTGGTAACCATCAAAGTATATTTTCCTGTTTATTATTTATGCTGTTTAATTGACATCATAAATTTGTTTCATATTTTAATAAAATTCATTTTAAAGAAAATTTCTGAAACTTCAAGTAAAAATAAGAAATCTATTTTAATAATTTTTAATTTTATTGTTATTTCTGATTTGTGTATCACTTATTGGTTTCATTTTAAGCTTCACAATTTTTAATAAGAATCTAAATATTTAATTTATTCCACTACTCCATTTTTAGCAAAACAGCATAATTTAATACATCAATTATATCACAGAAATTAAATTGCTATAATTGCTGCAAAATAATAATAAAAAAAATTTACAGTATTAAGTGTTTTACTTTCTTAATTTAAAGAGTAATAGATTCATATATTTCAGAATAAAATGATTTTATTGAATTTAACTTACATTATCTTCTTTTTCACTAAATTCTTGTTTTTCAGATTCAATAGCTGAGTAATTACTTCTAAACAGATCAAAACATAATAATCTATATTCCAATAAAAATTCATAAAAATTTTTACAAAATAAAAAGTTGTAAAAGTTAAACAATTGTCTGTGATGGCAATCTTAAGCAAATTAAAAGTAAATATAAATTATTTTATTGAAAAAGCTTTTTATTTTCTTGATATGTAAACTGTTTTACAATAAGATTATAAAACCATTTACCTTGCTTTATTTCTCAAACTTGAAATCTTTTTGCAAAGTTCATCATCTAATTTTTGGTAACTTCTAATTTTATTATCTATATGTTTGTAATATTTATCTACAAGAATATATTTATGATGCAACTCTTTCCATTTTGCAGTCAGTTCATTAATATTTTCTTCTATTAAATAAAAACAGAATGTTATAAAAAATAAGTAATTTTATTTATATTTCGGTATTTTTAATCCTCAAGTTGCAAACTAATTTTTTAAGCTTATTTCCTTATTTCTTAGATAGTCTTCATTTGCACTTTTAAAAACTCTTGTAAATAAAATAAAAATATAACATTTATGGTAAAAATGTCAATAAAAATTATTACAAATGAATAATTTTGATTTGACAAATACATTCAAAGTATGTTTTTTCTAATAAAATTAAACTTCTTGTGAAATACACTATGAAAAACAAAACTTTTTAATTGTCTTTACTGAGAAAAAAGCCTAGGGTAATTTTGTTGCCAATTTAGTAATGAGAAATAGTTTTAAAATTCTATATTCAAAAATAATGATTCTATTATTTTTGAATATAGAATTTCTTGTATTATATNTACTTATATTTTATGGTTAGTAACAAGTGTTACCAATTTATGAAATGAAAGAAATGTTAATTGATATCAGATATAAATGTTCTCAAATCCAATAAAATGTTTCATGACATAGGTCTAACACAGTAGTTCTGAAAGTAAACTGTGTTCCACAGACCTGTGGGGACCATTTTTGCTTTTATTTTATTACTTAACAAATATTTTAAAATATTATTTAAACTTATTTAAAGTTAAAATTAAGTATTTAAATATTTTAAATGAAGTGTAATAAATTTGTATATTATTGGGCTGCAATTTGAAAAAATTGTAGACCTATATATTCCCATTGTTGTCTGTCTATCCAGTCTTCCTTAATCTCAAGAGTGGTGTTTACATGAAAGTTGAAACCAGATATGAAAAGCTTAGTGGTATGAGGCCTCAATTAACTATATATGAACTTCCGATGCAAACTGGAAGTCACATTATTTCAATTCAAAACTTTCCCAAATGGAGTTAGATAGATGACTGGCATGACTCTTGCGAGCATGATATTAAAAGTATGATGTATAGGAGCAAGCCACTACAGTATTAATTTGAGATGGAGAACATATATTTTAAATTAAATTAATTAAAAATATGATTAAGAATTGCAGCCTGGCATTATGACAATGTTACAATAAATAATTGCTCATATTTAAAATGTTATATTTTAATGGTGTTTTGGAAAATAAAAAAGTTGGTTCTTTTTATTAAATTTTAATTTATTGACAAGACTATGTCTTGTTTATAAAATCATACTACTGGTTTATGTTACCAGCTTAGAGATATGAAGGAGTACTGTACATGTCAAGAGTTGATATTTGGCACAGAATATTAGGTACCCAAATCATTTGCACATAAAAAAAATCCAGACTTGTAGGTAGTCAGAGGACCAAGAACCAAGTCAAAATAAAATGTACGTTTCCTGCCCTTTTTCTTTTCAAACAAGCAACAATCGACACTGTAGAAACTCGGATCAAGAAACGACCAGTAGTTTTGAATCTACGATCGCTGATTGGCCAGTGATCATTGTACGATTGGAAGATGTCTGATAATACTACAAAACGCTGATTGGTTGATCAGCGTTTTCTTCAATCCGTATAAAAAGATTGGGTTTAGGCAGGAGAGCTAAGTTGGTCTGACTTCACTGAAGTACGCCGAAGTTTGTCTAAGTTTGCCTAAGCTCGTCTAAGTCAAGTTAGTTGCTAAAATGATCTTGTTGAAGAAGGTGGTTTCATCTCGCCAAGCTGTAATGAATGTCTGAAGGGATATATATATAACTACATCTGAGGAATACATCACAAGGTGACCTTTTTGATGGACCTGTAGTGGATTACTTGACTTTTGGACTCTGATTTATTTTGTGTGTGAAAAGCTACTTTGCAAATCTTAAACGTTGTCATTTGTAGTTCTTGTGAACATCATAAGTATATGTAAATCTTATTTGTTGTTATAAACGTTTTGTGAACTGTGATTAGTGTGATTTCGGAATTTGACTGGTTCCTTATATCAAAACGTTCAAAATTTCATCCTCTACAATCCCCCAAATTTTTAAAACGTCATTCTAATACACCCTGTATATTATTTATATAACTAGCTTACCCGTCGCGCATTGCTGCGATCTCAGAAGAAACGAAATTCAAGCAAACTCGTTATAATAAAATTCAAT